TTTTTTCTTCACGGTGAAGATGTTAATCTGTGGATCCTAGCAAGGCGACACCTCGCATACGCCAGTAAGCGTCATCCTCTGCGACGGGTAGATTGACATCGAAGATCCAGTGAAGATCTGAGCGTGTTGGGTACTTGTACACTGGGCACCTATAGTACTCCTGCTTCTTCTGCCTTTCCTTCATCTGTCCTGGCTTAATAGGTGCATTCTGATGTACCTGCGGGGCATCCTTATTCACGGCGGAGATGAGCAGCATGGGGAGTTCGCGGAAGAGATCCCCCGGTGGTGGGTCCTTCAGCCGCTTGTTCACCTTATCCCACATGGCGCCCTCGAGGAAGAGGCCGTAGATGACCACCTCGCCGCGCTCCGTCTTGAGATCCTCCGGCTTTGGCTCCTGCCCCGGACGGTACTCGGCGGAGCGGACCTCCGTGCGGGTCTCCACCTTGTCGAGGGCCCACGGCACCGCCTCCCCGGCGTGGCTGCGGGTGATCTCCTGCCGCACCGACGTGAGGAACCCCTGCGGGTTGAAGAAGCCCGGCAGCCAATACACCGCCGGCCGCCCAGTGCGGGCCCAGCCGTCCAGCTGCTCATACCGCCGCAGCACCTCCCCAAACCACAGGGAAATGTTCGGCGACGGCCATCCAACCGCCACCCACGACGGCGGGACACGGGCCGCGTAGAGATAATCCAACGCGTCCTGCAGCGCTGGAGTTAAGATGATCGTACCAGCCACCGCAAGTTTGAGGTTCGTGCAGGTCTGGCGAATCACACGGATCGTCACCGACAGACGGTCAATCTCCTGACAGGCAAAGATAGAAAGCGGTTGGCGATCGCCAAGGTACTGCTTACGGTCAACTGTCCAGTTCTCCGGAAGCTGACGTAGGAAGTTATCCGCCATTCCCAACACCTTCTCCTCACGTGTGACACCACCACGAGTAACAGCATCACGAGGTTGAATATCAAGAATCGTTGTGAGTGCCTCTTGTGCTTGACGAGTACGATAGGTAATATCTGCATTGGAGTGCATTTGGAATACCTCCGTTGTATCCACATCAGGGTAAGTCTCACGAATAAATTCACGATGTTTATTCATATCATCAAAGGGTGGAATCGCGTAACCTGGGGCAAACTCCATCAAATCATTAGTATTGTTACTATTGTTACTGTTCAAATTCTGTTTAACATCAAGAACCGGTTTCAAATCACGTACCTTATCTGGATTAGTAATACGTACATCATATAAGAACTCGGTAATAGCCTTAAATAAGGCACGATCATTATTATCTGTAATACGTCCACCATATTGAATATCAGAGACCATATAACATACAGTATCACGATTTACAGGATTTTTAAGGGTTTCACCAATAGTTGTCATATGATTAATAAGGAATTGAACAGAAGCGGTCCAATCACCTTGATTAAATTCATACGGTACACTGAAACCAATAGGACCAAACTTTCGACGTTCTACCACAACGGAGTGTAAGAAGCACTGTGTAAAGAGCATGGGTTTCCATTCAGGACGACGGAACATCTCAAGATAATCTTGTGACATCCATGAATAGGTACGTACAAGTCCTGCCTTTATACCTTGTGGTGGTTCATTGGTTAACTTAATAGACATTTGTAACAATCCAATAGGGAATGAATTATGAGGTTCTGTTGTTACCCACAATCGTGCATCTTCATGAATTTCTGCTTTCTTTTCACCTGGAAGCTGTTGTTGTCTCAGTTTTTCCTCTAGTTGTATCAAAAAGGGTAAACCAAGATGACAATTTTGAAGTAATGCCCAATCACCATTATTCCATGCACTACCCACAATGTTCATCGCAGCCTCTTCTTGTCCTTGTCCCATAGAAATAGGGAATATCTTCTTTTTGAGTGATTTTGCTGCTGCCTCAATAAGAGTTGTAGGATCAGAACCTTGTGAGAGTAAGAATACAATAGGTGTCATACCATTTGTTTCTTCCACTACATCATGAAGTTCAAGCTGTTGTGGTTCTGCAAATTCTTTACCAAGTGTACGACCCACATATAAGTTTGCTGCTAACATGGCACGATCTTCACGTAATGCACGAACAATAAGGAGTCGATCAAAAGAATCAAGTTTTTCATTTATATCTGGTACGGGTATACTTTCAATCATATCTGAATCAATATACTGACGCCAAGCTTGTTCATTACGCATAATAAGATCTGGAACTTGTTTGAAAGAACGTGGTACTTGCTCTGATAGTGCAAGAACATTTGCCCACATTTTATCCTTAATCCATACAAACGGTTTTGAACGTTCCACCTGCATTGCACCTCCACCCTTTAAGAATACATCAAAAGAAGTAGAATCTAAAAGTCCAGCCTTCATTTGTATCTTACATGCCATTAACAATACAAAAAGTAATTTATGCTTTGAAAAGAGCATACGAATAACATACTTAAATACAGCCATGGTGAGATATTCAATAATACACTGAATACGTCGGGTAGTAGCAGGATGATGTTCCGATCGTTGAATAGAACTATCAAAGATACCATCAAATTGCACAAGTGAAGTCTGATACATATGACTCACAAGGGACATTTCCACCACAAGGAAGTATAAAACAGCACCACGAGTGGCAACTGGTCGATATTCCTCACATGCACCTGCAATACGTTTTTTCGTTTCTAATGCTGTTGTCAATTTCTCAGCAATTTCAGCAGATGCATCTTTCGTCTCTTGTAGGGTTTGAATAAGTGCGACATCATCAATAAGATTACCTTGTGACTCACTTAATTGTTTAAGTAAACGATCTTCAAGATTTTTACGGCGCTTTTCATTACTGTTAATATCTTCTGATAATTTAGCACTCTCTTCATTCAACTCCGCCTTTTCACGGCTAATAACATGTGACAATAACTGTTGCTCTAGACCTTCCATTGTTACTGTGAAATCAATAACGAGACTCTTAGCGAACATTTCTGGTGTAAAGCTTGGATTTGGTAGTTTGGTAGTAAGGAACATACTAAAGTTTTCATTATAGCCCATTTCCTCACCATTGATTCGAATAATTTGTGTTTTACCACTCTTTACCACCTGTTTCTCTAATACGGGATCAATCATAGGATCTATTTCTTCTGGTACATTTTCCACAATAAGGGGACGACCAGCATCAAGTTGCTCTTGTAAATTCATCACAAAGGTACGATCACTTAACTGACAAAGTTTTCCTTGCATACGTTCTGTACGTTTACGAATCCAATTAAGTGCTTGTCCTTGTGGATCAATCATCAGTGGAAACTTTGCACTTGTTGTAATCATAATAGCATTCTGTACAGAGTGATCATCTGCTGGTAAACCTTCTAATTGCCAATCGGCAATGGTCGTCTCATCTACGAGGAATTTCACCACATTAATATCCGATGTAACGGGAATCTTTAGTTCTTTACACTTGGGATAGAAATTCTTGTATAGTAATTGATGACGGAACTCTGAATTAAATGGTCCACAATAAGAAATAAAAGCACAACTTAACGCGACATCTCCCACCAATCGTTCAATCAAGGATTTGAAGTCATTACTCTGTTGTGTCCATCGTTCACGTTCACCAGAGAGAGCATCAATGAGTCCATTCGCACTATCCATACGTTGTTTTGTACGTGTTGCATCATCCTCCAGTGCTTGTTTCTTTGCGTTTTCTTCTGCCAATTGTTGATTATATCGTTCCACTTCTGCTGTCACCCGTGCCAGTTCTTCCTCTTGTTCTTCCTTCTTCTTGTTGGCCACACGAAGTTTAATGGTTGCGATACGTAATTTTTCACGCTTGGGGGCCACAATCTTGGCAATATTAATATACTTGTACATACTACGTACCCATGTACAAAGACCTGCAATATTACCAGAAGCCTTACGTGCCCGTTCCTGTGTAAAGTCATCCATCCAGAGATATGGGAGAAGTAATTCACATGTTTCCTCATTAATATAATCCTTCTGATTCTCACCAAATGAACGTAGTGTGTCTAATGTACCCGAGTCGGAGGCCAATTGTCTACCACTGAACTCCCATGAGTCTGTGATCCAGAGATGTCCCTTCACCTCCTCCGCACCGGGGGGCAAAAGTGGACGGTGTAGAAGTACAGAGACCGCATCAAAAATACGTTTAATAAGAGCGGGTGGATTTGCCAATTTCTTCAGTGTGGTGAAGTCATTTGCTGTGATGGAGTTAAGAGACTCAATAGCCTCTAAGAGTGCAGGCTCTGCGGCCTCGAGATCTTTCTTGGCTTCCGCCTCACCTTCCGCCACAATAGCCGCATCCCGTGCCACCGTCTCCTTCACAATCTCAACTTCCATTCGCTTTTTCTCTGCCTCCGCTGTGCGAATTTCAATTTCCTTCACCAACACATCCGTCTCCTTGCGTTTGTTTTGTAAAAGAACTTCCTTTTCCTGTAATTGTGTTCGCATAACACGTACATCCTCACCAGCTTGATGAAGTTTTTGTAAACCCTTATTAATCTTACTTGCATCCTCGTTTAATTCATTAAATTTCTTTCTGTAAACACTTGTATAGGATTCAATAAATCCAAGATAAGATTTGGGAGTACTGTAGACAGAACGTCTATACCGTGTGAGGTATTCCTCTGATTTATCCAACATTAAAGAGTGAATTTCAGCCATGAGTTCCACAAGTGCCTTCTTATTCTTTTCTTCCGTCGCCATTTCAAAGGATTTAAGAGTACGGAAGGAAACATCCAATAAGGCTTGCTTAGGCCATGGGAAGAACCAATTGATCATACAGGAAGAGACAAGTGCAGGGAACTTACGAGCACGAGTACGGAATTTATCTCCAACAGGAGAGAAGCACAAAACAAAGTGTAGACGTTCGCGTACACGATTAATAAAATATTTCCACAGTGTCTCATTCATATCATCAAATTTTACAAATGGATCTTTCTTCATAACAGGACGAATATCATTAATAGCGGAATCACGTTGATCAGATGCAAAGAGACCAGCAATTTCACCATTGGAAAGGAAGGAGTTAATATATTCAAGGAAGATTTCTTGTTTAATATCATTATCTGTGAAAAGCATCGTTACTGGACGTTTAGTGGCTGCCACAATATATTGTTCACGAATGGCATCAAACAATTGATTAACACCGAAACCCTTTGATAAGACCAAAGTAGCATATTCTTGCGAATTCACATGAGCTGCAAGACGTGTAAGAGATTGTTTACCGCTACCACCAACACCCACAAGTAAAAGATTACCACGTGGAAGAGATAATACACGAGAAATACGTGAAACATTCTTTACAGCGGCCTCAAATAAGACAAGTTTTAATTTCTTTACACGACTCTGTTCATCATGGGCTTTCATGGCACGTAATAAACGATCTTGTAATACTTCTATAGAAGGAGCTGGTTCATAAATGCGTGGAGCCGCCTCTGCGATTTCACCCGTCTCTGGATCAATAATAGGATCACGTAGATAATTAGCCATGTAAATAGGTTCACGTACTTGATCCACAATCTCCCGATAGGGTGTGGGTGTCAAATGTTGGGCAACACATTCCTGTAAGTTTTCATCAAACCAACGTTTATCATTCACACTGTTAAGTTTATCACTAAAGACACGAGAACACTCATGTTTCCAAACTCTTACAAGAGTAACGGCATCTGTGATAATTTCCCATGGTTTACTGGTGGATCGTTTCTCTGGGCGATCGGGATCGTAGAACATACCTGCTAACATAATACCCTGAGTAATACGTGAAAGATCTCGCAAGTTAAAGAAGTAGTGGAATTTATCCGGTGTTGGTAACATTCTCTTTGCAATAGCACGCCAGAAATCAATAGACATTTGTGTTAACATCTTTGCAATATCTTGTACCCCACGTGCGTAGTTGTCATTACAGAATCGTCCTTCAAAAATAACACCAAAGATCTGTTGAACAGAACTCTCCTCTGGTAGAGGAACATTAAATACAGAGAAGTGTCGTTTAAGACGATTGGGAATATCATTTTTACCACCAGATGGATGAGACATGGCAGCCATATAAACAAGTCCACAGAGTTCTTTACGACGACCGGCGAGACCCAAATCATACACCATATTCGATTCCACCACTTGACGTACAATCTCATTTGTAATCTGATCACCCCATTCATTGATTTCAGGCATGTTGATATCATCAATAAATACAGTTAACTGTTCACAATTCTTTGGACCAAAGGTAGAACCCATACGTTTTTCTGTCATATCATCCAAGGCATTGTAAAAGTTTTGAGGTGTTGTCATGGATGAAAAATTTAATTTTCGGAAGTTTGAGGTTTCTGATTCGGATTTAATTTTCAATAACAACTTTTCCATTGTAACCGTTTTAGCTGTACCACTCACACCAATTAATAATGTTGGTCGTTTCTGCATAAAATTACAGTTAGCAAGGAAGTGTAAACGAACAGAATCAGCAGTAGGAATGAATAGAGTTGAAAAATCAAGTTTATCATCACCAGGGTACTTCCACTTATCAAGGAATGATGTCCATAGCTCCCATTCACCAGATTTACAGTTAAGTGATAAATCAAAGATAGTTCCTTCCGATGATGGTGGTAAATGTTCATAATGTTGCCGTACAAAGGCATCAAACTTCACACGATCTTTGGATTCCAACATACCACCAAAGGCCCAAGAAATACTAAACCAGTAGATTTGTTGGGCAAGCGCATCATTCACAGCCACTCCATCACCAATTTCCTCACCAAGAGCCACAGCGAGATGGAAAGCATTTATAACAAGATGGGCAGTAGAGGTTTTCATAATGATACTACACTCCTTTTCATAGAATTCAGCCACCTTCTCCGTTATATTAGGTTCTGTAGATCCTTCTGTGTTTGGTAAAAAGATTTCAAGTAATTTCTCTGCAAGGAGTTGATTGCATGGAACCACAACATCAGAGGGTAATATCTTACCATCAGCACTTGCTTTAGCCCGTAGTTTAGATTCCAAAACTGGTTTCCAACCGAGAACCACATCTGAAATGTAAATAATACCAGCACGTGATACAGTAGCAGGAGAAGCATTTGCCAAGTTCTCCACTTCAAAACAACACTTCATTGTATCTGTCATTTGAATACGATCACCATTGGCAAGTGTCAAAAGTTTATTATCATCCAATACTGTGTTAAGATTCTCAATCCAAATAGCATCTACTGGACCATCACAAATAATCCAAATATTTCGTTTCTTTGCATTTCGTACAGCTGTACGCCAGAGAGATGAAAACACACCATCATGCCAATCACCCGAAACATCAATACGTCCAAACATTTGTGGTGCTGTAATTGCCTTTGGATTCATACGAAGTTGTTGATGAGGAACCGTTGTACGGCTAAGCGATTCCGTCATCACTTCATAACATTGTGTCTTTCCACACATCGCAGGCCCAACAACCATAATACCATGCCGAACCAATTTCGTTTCATACAATTGCAGTACTTTATGTACCCATGGAGTCCACTGCTGGAGACCTTTCTCTTGAATAACTTTTGCGAGTTCACCCTCAATCTCTGGATGTGTACCTTTTACAAACTGTCGTCCAGGGAACATATCACGTAAAAGGGAATCAAAAAGTTCAATATCTTCAAAGACGAGTTTTGAAAAGTTCATATCACGTAATGTACGCATAAAGAGATCTTCTTCATCTTTTCCAGGATTACGACGAAGTACCGCACCTGCAGTACGCAGCACGGAAAGAATATTACGTAAACCAAAGTCATAGTGTCGTTGTTTGGATAACTGCTCTTCACAAAGTTTATAAAGGGTAAAGAATTTCTTACTGAGTAAATCATCTAAACTGTATCCCTGAGATGCCAGTTTAACCTTCATAATAGTTTGACGATCAGGAATCATCATAGTAACACCACGGAAAAGAATCTTAAGATTCTCTGGTAACTCTTGTCGACCAGCATAACCTGGATTCATTGTAATGAAGAAGCCCACACCAGGCATAAGGTCTGTTACCTGTCCATCAATAAAGATAAACTTCTCTTTATGTTGTTTAAGAGCTTGTAATACGCAACTTACTTGTTGGGCCACAACAGAAAGCACAGGAAGATCAATACGATTAAATTCATCAAAACATCCCCATGCATTCGCTTGTGAAAGACCACGAATAATTTTTCCCATAGCATGACGATCCAGCTGATCTGAACAGTTAAACACAACACAGAACTTACCATAAGTTCGGGCAAGATCCTTTGTCGTTTCTGTTTTTCCCGTACCTGCAGGTCCAGCAGGAGCACCACCCATATACATTGCAAGTGCCTGAGATAATGTAATGTAACAACGATCTGTTAATGGAGTAATAACGAGACGTTCTTTCACACCCAAGTATTCATTACAGTACTCTGTATCAGAATCTGCAATAGAAATAATTGTAAGATCACGTTCTGGTTTATAGTAGAACCTTGCCTGTTTAAGCCAATCAAAATGTGTAATATCTTTAATAGATGCCTTCTGTAAGTCCATAAACACCTCTTGCTGATGGACCTGAATGGTAATAAGAGTTTCCACATTTGTACGCATTCGCTTTGGTTGTCGCTCAAGATCTGGTGAGGTAGTCATATTCACAAGAAAATTCTTTACAGCATCACACTTTGCACGGGCAGAGGCGGATTCTCTTCCACGCGCTCGCATAATACCTTTCGTAATACACTCCGTGACATCTGCTGTCCAGAAGAACTGCAGCATAAGAAGTGAAACCTGTGCGGGATAGCGATCAATGATAGATCCAAGATAATTGGTATTGCCAAGTAATGTACTTAACTCGGTAACACTACCCTTTACTACTTCTCGCACGGTAGCCGTCATACCAGCGCAAAGGCGATTGAGCCAATCTTCAACGTTTCCAACACATGGTGTGGGTTCACGCATTAACAGAGACTCACCCTCACCTGAAATCATTTCAACAATTTGAAAATACGGCTGTGCGCCTGCCTCTCGTGGTTTTACACGATCAAAACGTACAGATGCGAGACCATCAAAGATAGATGCGAGATGAGGTTGAATAGACTGAGGATCACTTGCCTGGGAGAGAATCTCCAATAGTACGGTATCGGATACAAAGTAAAAACGAGGGAAGAGATTTCGTTTTTGTTCAAGATAGAGTGAAAGTTTACGTTGACATTCATCCAATTGTTCCTTTAAGTTTGGTAGATTTTGCAGTAATTCATTTTCATAACAGAATTCCAATACATTTGGAGTCTCATTCGCTTTATTCATAATCTTCTGCCAAGCTTTATCAATCATTGCAAAACGTTTCGCTTCTTGTGGTAATTGTTTCATAATATCACCTCCCGCAAACACGGCTTCAAGATATTGCCATGTAAACTGCACTTCCACCCATAAAGCTATAATCTCACTCACCTTAACAAGTTTCTGTAGGAAGCTCTGTATTGTATCTCGCATAAAGGCACAATACCGAGAAGATAACATGGAGTTAATGGCTAATGAGGATTCATCTAATGCCTCACGCTTTGCAGAGGTATCATCACCCTTTAAAATAATAGGACCTCGGTGTTTAAATTCAGAGAACTTTAACTCCTGATCTCGCCAAAGAGCCTCTTGTGCACGGAACTTGGATTCCACTTCAGCTTCACGTACAGAGGAACTGGCAATATCAATGACTTCATCCGCCACTCGTAATAAATCCGCATCCACGAGATTCTGCAATTTAAATAAATCAGGATCTGTACGCCATTTGTGTCCTGTCACTCGCATAATCTCTTGCCAATGACGCTCCACCACGGCAGGATTTTTCAATTCCTGAATAACCGGTTGTAATTCCATGAAATCATCTAGAATCTTTTTCAGTTCTACATAGGCATCCCAGTCCCGTAGAGACTTTGGTAATCGTTTACACTGATTCACAAATACACTCACCTCTTCCGCAATAGCATCAAAGTCAAGTTCACACCAGAGTACATCATTGTAACCATCTACCTTCTGTAAAACATTAATGTAAAGTGTGTAGAGTTTGTCCAGTAATTCCAATTCCTTCTTAGTCTTCACCAACTCTGGATATTTATGCTGTGGTAAACCAAAGAGTTCCTCACCTGCCATGTGTGTTAACCACTTACGGTATTTATCATCAAATTGACGTTGATATCGTTTCAGTCGCTCCATGGCTTCTTGTGGTTTCAATCCCTCTACCATTGGACCATGGGCATCATAGTCATTACGGAAGGCAATAACTTCAGCCCCAAACTTCTGTACTTCTTGTGTGAGACCTTTTTTAAATCCATGCTGCATGTGATTAATCTCATCTGAACGGCGTTCAGCCAATTCATGTAATTTTCTCCACTTGAAACGAATATCCTCTACACGATCAATTTCTTCTTTAAAGAGTTGAACGTTAAATTTCTGTAGTAGTGCATATGCCTGTTGAACAGGGTAAAATTGAAACTCCACCACAGATTCACGATCACGAATTTCTTGAAGCGTTTCCATAAGCATACGAAGATCTTCTAATTTCTCTTGATCAGGAATTGGCATTGCAAGTTGATGAGCTTCTTCATCCATCTTGTGAGTGAGGGTATCAAGTTCTAACTGTGCTTTAGCATGTAATTTATGTGAGAAGAGTTCCCGCCATTCCGCCACTTTGCGAAGAAGATCTGTCTTAAGTGGTTTATTCTGTAAAGCAAGACTTCCAATGTTAAAAACAGGTGTTAATGCTTCTATTTCTTCTTGTAATTCCACATATTTACGTAGTATAGATTCAAAATCATCCAATGATGGATTGGTAGCAATAAAGGCTTCATAGGATGTATCCTTATCTCCTTTCCAAAGATGTTCATATTTGCGGAAATGATTAAGATATTCCATTACTTGTTTCTTTAGACCATGAATACCACCTGTAAGAAGTAATACGACCTTTACAATTTCTTTATTTTTCGCAATTTCTTCAAAGAAAGATAATACATCATCACCAAGTCCACTCCATAAGGTCATATATTTACTACAAGAGAGTACAGCGGTTGCACATTGGTTAATGGCCTTTTGCACCTCATCTAGAGAAGGATTCAAATACACATATGGTTCAGCGTTAATCAATTGTACGTCCACATCAAAAAATGGTTTTTCCACAAAAAGAAATGAAACCCGATTGCGTGTACCAACACGTTTCTTTAAGAGATTCAGTGAACGAGTCGTACTAGTAAGGATAGCTTTAAACATGAGACGATTGAAGTGTCCCTTTAAAGTTGCAATACGTTCCTGTGTTGCACTGTCAAGATTGGCTGTATCATATGAAACTCCTTGACTTCCGAGAATACATGAAATAACATCATCCACAGCTGTTTCCACTTCTCGATTCTTAACATCCATTACCTCACATTGTTGTCGAATATGTTTTTCCTGTACTTGCACAAACTGATCGAGTGAGAAGTGGTCTTCAAAAATGTTTACAAGAAGTGTAGAAGAGATAAGCTTTAGATTTAATTGAATGCGATGATGAATGATATCATTTACTTTGGTTACGAGGGCATCCAGGTCTTGAATAGCCTTTTGTACTCGTTCCAGGTATGTATCCACATTCATAGAGGTCCATGTAAGTGTGGTCTCACCAGGAAGGAATACAGCATCCAGAGCATCAAGGTTTGGTTGAAGAAGGGCACGTGTAATACCAACAATTTTACTACGTGTTCCCCCAGCACGACCCACAACCCGTTCATACTCCTTCACAAGATAGGAGAGTTCATTATAGAATGTTCTCAAACGTTGTTCCTGCATTAATACCATTTTCGCAGACATAGGTACATCAATATCACCAAGAAGCATAATAGCACGAGTTTCCTTAATTAATTGAATGATTTCCACATCAAAATTTACCAGTAAACGACCTTCATGACGTACAAGTAATGTCGCATTCAGTCCTGATTTACTTGACTCAATTGAACGTTTCCATGCATCTACCCAAATGGCCTCAAATTCAATTAATGCCACAGATACCTTATTGTATGTACGAATAACCTTTTTGCTATCTTTTGTATTTGCCATAATAGTACGGTTTGTTTTAAACCGATCCATGGGAGATTTGATGTGCCGCAACAATTGTCGGGCCCAACTGATGGCGCCTGCAACGGGTGTCATATTACGAGCCACAGGGGGATCTGTTTTGTAGCGTTCATACGTTTTTTGATCATTCTCTAGTTCCATCCCATAGCTATGGAAGATCACAAGATACTTAGACTCTAGATCAGCCGCGAAGGCTTCATTCCTTAAAATACGTTGATATTTTGCAAGTAATTGCAGCGCATTATCTGTAGAAGTAATATTTTCAAAAGAGGAGTTAATGGCCACTTGCATAGATGTCTCTAGTTCTGCAATACGTGTTTCAAAAATTTTGAATTCCACATCAAACTTATTATTATCGTGAATATCGAGAATATCAGTTGTCTTTCCACGTAAGTGTCCCAAATATTCTTCAAAACGTGGAATAAGACCTTCCATTTGCTCAATATTATATGCTTTAAGTTCCATAAATTGTTCTACAGTACTAAACACGCTGATAAGTTTGTCTACACGCTTTGTGAAAAGATTAAAATGACCCATAAATTTTAATTCATCAAAGTCAAATTGTTTTCCATCTTTTCGTGCTAGTATTTCCTGTGCCTTCTTGTACTCTTCATTATAAGCCTTATTACACTCCGCACTTAGTTGAAGTTGACGTAATAGTTCTCTTAAAGTATCAAAGTACTGCGCATTTTCCCAAATACGTCCACGTACCCCGGAAGGATTGATTGCCGATTTACACGACAATACCATCGCATTTGTAATCTTAAAGAACAATGCCGTCATACGTTCTCGTTTAGAGTAATAACGTGCAATCGTGTACATCATGCGAATGTTTGAGATAAGTGATGGTAGAATTTTAATAATTTCTGAAATATCAGAGGAGTATAATACATCAAAGTATTTGTCAAGTGAGCGGAGATACTTTACGTTTTCCCGCGCCTCTGCTAATGCCTCTGTGAGTGCGGTATCTACTTCTGTCCAGCATGGCAGCAGTGGACTCTTCACTTCCCGCAAGTACTGTACAGCCCGTGCGGCCTCCACTGCGGCGAGCTGTTCCTCCACGAGATGTAATTTAGCGAGTCTATTTTTCCACAAGTGAATTTCCGTTTTTGGACCTGCCTTCTCGTCGTTTAACTCATTTTCGTAGTTTGGTGTTTGCTGCACAACTTCCTGGATAACTTTAATCCAACCCTCCACAGATGTTGTGAGGCTGTGCACGACCACAGGGTCATTAATGCCGCCGCGCTTGTTTACACCGCCCGTCTGCAGTAGACGCCATGTCTCTGCACTCACCGGTTCCAGTTCATAGCTCTCACCCTGCAGTTGCTGCAGCTCCGATACTCGGTCTGCATAGCGAAGGAGATGAACAATAAATTGATTACGCTCCGCCACAGAGTTTTTACCCCATTTGGTGAATTTGTTAAACAACGGTGTGTAGACTTCCATAAGAAGGTGTTCAAAACTCTGTAAAACATTGGCCTCTAGTGTTCCCATGGCTACTTCTTGCACAACTTGTGTGGCATCTTTGGAGTTGATGGCCTTTCCATCATCTGTGCGAATGAGATATACACAGCGCTTTGTCAGACAGGGAATTTTCTCTTTCATGGTGTTAATAACGCGCAGCACATCCCCTGCGTTTTCCTCTGCGTCTGGGTCTGGCTGGTAAGTGAAGAGCAGTGTAGATGCCCCACGGCCCTCCAACATATCGTGGACCACCACGAAGTTTGGAGAACCGTCCGTGAAGTTGAGATCAAGTTGTTGGGTGAGACGGTCCATGGTGTCAGGATCACCGCAGGCGAAGAAATCCTTCACACGGGAGAAAATATACAAGTGACGCACATCGGAGCGCACTCTGCGATTTTCGTCCATGATTGGTAGTTATTGATAATAACAATGATGTGTTGTATTATTCTTCACACGTTTTTTTTTTCCTTTTTTCTTTCTCCTGGGAAATCACAAAACACCAACAGCAATACACAGTACAAGTCAATCCTATAAACGGTCAAACAGGATAAGAACAAACAAACAAACAAAACTTGAGACAGAGAGTTACGTTTCTAATAGGGAAACTCTCTCCTCAGACTATTATATATACCTCCAGGGAAGAAAAAAAAAAAAAAAAAGAAAAAAGAAAAAGAAATATGAACAAAAGGAATGAAGAGAGAAAATCAAATAATAATATAATAGAACAAACTAAGAAAAATAAAAAAGTTATTACGCCAAGAGACATTTCACATAAATAAATAAAAAAAACAAGAGAAGAAACCAAAAAAAAAAAAAAAAAACAAAAAAAAGAGGAAAAAAAAAACAAACAGAAATAAATATAATATTCACCTTCAATACTGGTAGTATCAGGTGTATCAGTATTTCATTTGAAAGGTTTTCTTATCTCTCTCTCTCTCTCTTTTCTTTCTTTTTCTCCAGTTTCAATAACAATAGAAAAAATGTACACAATTCCACTGCTTTATAAACGCAGTTCCTCCAACAAATAACGATAGTCACACAAGACAGTCCAAAGTACCTCGGGAATTCCATGCACACGGCGTCGTGCCGCTTCCTCTTCAGTAGAGTCCGGAGGCGGGGCCGCTGCTACTGAGATACCTTTAGTAGTATTAGTAGAAGCAGTAGAAGCATTAGTAGAGGCCGCAATCATCTCACGTTCAAATGGTGTACGGCAGAGACGCACGCAGCGGTCAAGCAACCACGGAGGCATAAGACGCTGTTCGGTTCGGAACAGTCGGACGAGACACTCTCGCAGTACTTTTTCCTCAAGGTAACCAGTGCGGATGTCATCATGGGCAAAAAAGGCATTGCGCAGCAAATGATAATCACCACCACAACCTTTTAGTAGTTCTTCTCGCACCAATCGATTCATTTTTAATCTTCCTTTTTTCACACGATCCTCAAGGAAGGAATCCTCTACACTTCCTCTTTCTTTTCGCCGTGGTGAAACATTTACTGAAGATGCATGTGAAATAGATGATGGAGTAGCAATATGCCGCGGATGATCTGATGGAATAACATTGGTACCGTTAACCATGTCTTCCATACTATTTCTATTATCTTTATTATTACTTTCGTTACTTTCTGGGATTCTTTCATGTAACTGCACATAACTTTCCTGCACTACAAGGTCTCCTACAAGAGATACATAGTGACATCGATTACCATTTTTCCCTTGTGATAATCCCATAGAGAGTAATTCACTTATTTCACTTTCCGTTAAATCAGGTGCAACAGCATAGAGAGCACGTCCAAGATCTTTTGGTGTGAGAAATCCATCCTGTGCACGGTCATAGTTGCTACAGAGAGAAAGTAAATATGAACACTTACCATAAAGTTTCTCTGATATACTTTTTGAGATTTGAGGATGCCTAACTTTATCTATTTCACCACCACTCTGTTCTACCGTACGTGAACGATTAGGTGGAAGTGGTGGTATACCCGGAAGTGGCATTCTTTGCCGTTGTGTAGATAAGTCCGCATTATTAGATGGACTCCTACTACCTGCTGATGAGGAACGCCCTATACGCCCATTATCTACTGATGCTGCAGAGACTCGTGTTGGTGTTGGTGGTGATAATGGTGAGGTATCTGGAATAAGTGAAACCCGCACAACGGCAGGTTCCGACTCATTCAATTCACTTTTACCAATCAATGCGGATTTGCTTTCCATGCTGTTTGTACGATAGTGGTGATGTGATAGTGTTGAGACATCACCCTTGGAGGGTGAAATCGGCTGCACATTTCTTATACTTCCTCGCGAGACGTTCTTATTACTTCCACTACGCTGCATAGAAGGTTTACCAGCAACAGAGGTAGTGAGAGATTGTCGTTTTTGCTGGGGCTTAACCATTTGGGAAGTATAGCGTTGCCGAACTACAGAGACGGATTCTTCACTGGTACTAAAACTTCTTCGTCTCCTTTGCAAAGAGTCAATAGACTCAACATCATCTCTAGAACCCTTTTCATTACTTTTTTGAATCATAGAAGAACTACTACTCCGACCCAAACTTGTTGTACGTTTTGGGGGAATATATTTAATCTTCTTTTCTCGCTCATGGGCCAGGGATGAAGCAGTGTGTTGAAAAAGTCTCCCAACCGTCCCAGGATTACTATTTAGAGGTGAGTTATCTCGTGAGGAAGAGACAGAACGAGAGGCCACTTCATGAGTATCCTTTCTTATTGTATCGTAGTTCACTATCTCTCGCTGTGTTTTCACACGCTGGGCTGATTTATCACTTTGGTGAATCTCCATTTCATCTGGAACATCAAAACGTTGCACATGTGTTGGATCTGTATTTGTATTTGTATCATTTAAAAGATCAGAATACCTCTCCTGAAACTCCATTTCTAGACGTCTGAGAAAGTTCTCTTCCTCTAGGCGTTGTTTTCGTCGTGCTAAAAGTTCTCTATGAATTGCTGCGTAGTCCTCTGATACTGACGGTTTTCCACTCATATGATCATTCGTCTTTTCACTGGACGACCCAATTGAGCCACCTAATGTACGAAATGATCGGGTTCCATTACGATTTTCCGTAGGAGGCAAATATGGCGGTGGTACACTAAACTCAGTATCCTTCTGAAGTCCACGTGCAATTGGTACCTCGTAAGGATGTGGACTCTCTGAGCGTGAAGCTGTCAGAGAATTCTGTTCTCCAACTTTTGTTGATATCACTTCAGTTTCCTTTTCAACATCCGTAAAACGATATGATGGTGGCATTGTAACACTACGCATTGATGGTGCCGCCTGTGGTTGTCGTGCTGTTTCCATCTCTGGCGAAGGAGAGACAAACACTGTTGATCCAGAAGGTGGTTGATGATCTGCTGTCCCTATTGTACTGCGTCCCTGTGGAGTCTCAGTAATTCCTGATTCTGCTAAATGGGTAACAGTAACACTAGTATGTACACTTGGTGGGGGACTAAAGCTATTCACATTATCTTGTGATAATACATCCACTTTGGAATTATAGGAAGCATGCGGCGATGATGATTTCCGTGGTGACGGTGTGAATTCACACGCTGCTAAGAGTGATGTCCCACTTTGACTAGCATTCCATTTGGCGCTCTCATGCGGTTGGTTCTTATCTGTTGTTTCAAGTCCTTTATGAGTGAGAACAGATATTGGTGGTACAGGCGGTGGTGATGGTTCCGGTGCTCCTGCAAGCCAAAGGGATGAACGACGAATACGTTCTATTAAACTTGAACGCATGCGTGAAACGAGCATACAAAAGTCTACACTGCTGAGTACGCGATCAATACTGTTGTCATCTCCATTACCAAGCATAATATCACTCATATCAGACTCATCTAAATCTAAGGAATCTGCTAATGCCTCTAATTCTGGCATATGTACTTCAATACCTCGGCGATGTAAAGCATTCCATATTTCCCGTAGTGTAACCATTCCATCTTGATTCTGATCGATAACACGGAATACTTCACGAAGTGAAATTAAATCCCCACGTCCAGAGACACCCACAGTAGAAGAAGTTCCATGGCTCACTCTAGATATGTTATGTTGCGTTATTCTATCATTTGTATGTATACTTCTAGAAAAAGAATTACCTACATCTTCTGTAGGCTTTACAGTGGAAACTACTTTTCTTGTTGTTGTTGTTGTTGTTGTTGTTGGAGTTGGAGTTGGAGTTTCTCTAGTCTGTATCTGTTTTGCAGAGGAAACATTATTGCGCTCTCTATTTGGGAATAGAAACAATTCTCGCTGTCTCTGTTCTGAAGAGTCTCCACGCATCATCTGGTTTTTATTGGTCTCTGACTGTTGTGGCGTAGAACTCTCAGAATGGGCTCGTAGTTTTGCCTGTTGTACCATTTTCTCCACAGAAGAAGCTCGGTACACTGGGGAAGAGGCACGTTCCACTGCGTATTCTACAAAACTTGATGTTTTCATATCTCGTACGGTATGTGGGTGTGCGGCTCTGTTCTTTTCCTCTTCATGTTGTTGTTGTTGTTGTTTCTTACTTTTCTCTATAGCGGACTCTCGGCGGTTTGAGAGGGCAAAAGGACTTCTCATAGTGGATTCCTCTGTTGCAGGGATATTCGCCATACGTGAAGAAGTAGAAGCACGAGAAGTGTAAAAACTATCATCATCTCTTCTTTTACCACTCTTAGTCATTCCCATCATATTGTATGGTGAATTATCATTTGATGAATTATTTTTCCGCAAAGAAGTGGTTGAAGCTGTAATGGGCAAAACCCTTTTTTCTCGCGATGGAAAATTTACTGCTCCGTTCACAATATCATTCTCATCAGAGATTGGCGAAACGGATCTAGTATCTACAGTATTGCTACTACTGCTTTCTTGTGTTGGTGAGGGCATGTTATTCCCTGCGAGAGAACGCATGTTTTTTAAGAGTTCCACGTAATTAATACAGTCACTTCCTCCTATGCGGAACTGCTCTGTGAGTGCCTCCGTCTGTTCTGATGAGCCGCCATTGCGGCGGAGAACCATCTCGAAGTCGTTCTGCAGCAAGAAGCCCGTTCGGTTTTTGTCTGCAGTGCGCAGATCCCGCTCTAACTGCCCAATCGAATCCCTCAGCTCCTCCTCATACATCACGGCATCAAAGTAGTATAGATAATATATATAAATCAAAAAGATAGTAGTAATAGTATGACCAATAAGGGGAGAAGGCAAATAATAATAAAAATAAATATATCTATGCAACAAGGGGAGAAGAGAGGACTATCTATTTCCAGTATAACCTTCTGCTAAACAGGGAGCAAGAGAATAGAAGAAAAAAAAAAAAAAAACAGAGATAATAAGCAAATAGAAACAAAGAATGCGCTTAAAACAAAAATATATCCACATTGCACTTAAAATGCAATATCAGAGTAGCCTTAAACTCAGTGAGTCAGCAGAATTTTTTTTTTTTTTGGAATATTACTTTCACACGAACGTTAATATGTCTGTATGCGTGTGATTTGTATTCTCACAAAACTATAGGTTCACCACTACTGGGGCTCTTTCTTTACGTTTTCTCTCTCTGTCTTTCTCATTCTTTTTTTTTTTTTTGCTCTCTATAGAAATATATATATATATATTCTTTGGATTGGTAAACAAACAAACAAACAAACAAACAAAAATATGTGTTCATCATCACCATTGTAGTCAACTCATAGATTCGTTATCTAACACCAAATATTTTTAAAAATTGCGAATGTAATCAGAACTCTCACACGCCTTATATTCACTCACTAAACTTTCTACAACCTCCCTAGAATGTTTAAACTCATCAAGATTCTCCTTCATAGGCCCGTATCTTTTATACTGCTCTAAGAAGACACCACGGTTAAATAAAAGATCAAATTGCTTCAGTGTTCGCTGAAAGAGAGAGTTGATACTGGTATGGTTCGCCATCACTAATCCACTTACACGGTGTCGTGTATCCACGTAGGGAGATTTCTTTGAAAGAATAACTTGAATTGAAGCGGGTCCCCATGGAATAAAGTTAGGCGAGCGTTCTCGGATACGCTCAAGTGAACGGTGTACTTGCGCTGGATCTACATCTCCTTGAATAAGATTTAACAAAGATATGTAGCATCCACTTTTCATAGATGTTGAAACCATCATATTTTTTGGCATTAATAATCGCCTCATTACGTCATGTACAGATGTTTTTTGCACAGATGATTGAATATTAGAAGTATCTAATGTGGTTGGAGTATATCCAGTACAAATAAAGTGACACCTCGGTGTTGGAATCAATGATGCCAACATACTCATAAGATCATTATTCATGTATCCAGGATATCGCAAGGTAGCAGTCGATGCTGCCATTACGGTACTTACCAATCCATTCATTTGTTCAACCGTGGGTGAAGAAATATGAAGATTATCTGTCGCAATACGATTTAAAGCGGTATTGTCCAATACAACCACACAATCAGCATGTAGTGTTAAACGCTTTATAGCGAGTAAACTATTGTATGGTTGTACAATAACATCACTGTCACCCCCACGAGATTGGTTTGGAAAAACACTATACGTCTGAATTAACTTCTTTGGAAATCTATCATTTAGGTGTTCAAGAAGATAACTTCCCATACCACTTCCTGTTCCACCTGCAATACTATGTGTAAGTACAAATCCTTCAAGACTATCACTATTTTCAGCTTCACGCTCAATCATATCAAAAAGTGTCTCTTGCACGGTATCACCCAACTCATACCCATGTGCCCAATTATTTCCAGCACCACCTCCCTCTGCGTGAATGTAAACATTTTCTGGATTAAAAAGACGTTGCATACTACCGCGCTGAATGGCGTTAATTACACGCGGCTCCAAGTCAATAAGAAGTGCACGGGGAATATAGTGATCATCATCAGCTTGATAAAAGAAGACATCTTTTCGATCATCACCACCACTAGCAAAAGGTTCTACAATTCCATCGTGCCGAATTCCATGTTCAGCGCAAAGTAATCGCCAGAATTCGGAGCCAACTTGGTTTCCACATTGTCCTGCCTGAAGTGTTATAATTTCTCGGGGCATATGAACTTATTTTCTTTTTTTTTTTTTCCTCCCGTAATTATTTGTTATTCGTATGCGTAAAATTCTATTTTACCGTCGTTCCTCGGTTTTCTTTTTTTTTTTTTTTGGTTTTCTCTTTGTCGCTAGTTATTACGCTCCTTCACAAAAATAAAATAAAAGGGAAGTTGTTTTTGGGATTTCCACCTATCTACAAAAGGAGAAAAAAAAAAAGCAAAATATGGGTTATTGTACGTAATTCAGAGGTACTTGTCTCCCTTTTGCTTTTTCTACTACTTTTTTTTTTTTTT